TTTAGCAGGGGTCCTATTCCTCCCTGGGTCTTCCTTTTACTCCCTATATATCTAAAAAACAATTTTTTGTTATCCTTTACTTGGGTTGCCATCCTCTGCTCCATGGCAGCTTTGGCCCGTCTAACTGCTTCCCTACAAGCGCGAGCAGAGGAGGGGTATTCATCTTTGGTGATCTCTCCCTGTTTCCACTTTTTATGTGCTCCCCTTTTGTCCTTTAGGCTGCCCTGGATTTCTCTGGTCAGCCAGGGAAGCCTCCTGGCCCCTTTCCCCCTTTTGCCTCGCTCGGGGATCATCTTGCTTTGTGCCCAAAGGCTCATTTCCTTAAGGCACAGCCACCCTTCTTGGGCTCCCATCACTTCAAAACTCCTACTCTGCAGTGCGTCCTTGACTAATCGCCTGAGTTCATTGAAATCAGCTTTCCTAAAGTCTAGCACTTTCACCCTACTAGTTACCTTACCCACTCGACGTCTTATTGTGAATTCTATTATTAGGTGATCACTGTCCCCCAGATGGCCACCGATCTGTAGGTCCCCAACCATGTCATCCCCCGTTGCCAATACCAGGTCCAGTAAGGCATTCCTCCTAGTGGGACCGTGTACCTCCTGTGTCAGGTGGCGGTCCTGTACACAGGTTAGAAACCTGCGTGAGTGGTGGGACTTTGCTGTCTGTGACTCCCAGCAGATGTCCGGGTAGTTTAGGTCCCCCATGACTACCGCCTCTTTAGCTTTTATGGTCTCCGAGAGTTGCCTCAGGAGCCCCGAATCCCTTTCTTCCCCTTGATGTGGGGGTCTGTAGCAGACCCCTACCACCAAATCCCTTTCTCCTTGCCCCCCATGTAGCCTAACCCACAATCCTTCTATTTTCTCATCCTTCGATTCCGTCTTGATGAGGGTTGACGTATATTGCTTACTGACATAGAGCGCAACCCCTCCCCCTTTCTTCCCCACCCTGTCCTTTCTGTACAATCTATAGCCCTCAATGTGTACTGCCCAGTTGTGGGATGAATTCCACCAGGTTTCCGTTAGCCCCACTAAGTCATAGGTGTTTAGTGCAAGCAACTGCATTTTGTACATATATGTTCATTTACTTCATTAAGTACAGTATAGGTCAAACAGGTAATTTGATTGGCTTGATTTTAATCTGTTTGTTGCATTAGCAGTAAACGAGCTAATAACTTTAACTTGTTATGTATTGACACACAGACGTACTTACATTTTTATGCTAATGTAAGTCCTTTGGAGTGAAGTGAGTTTGAAATTCTCGCAGATGTACTGATAATTTCCACTTCAGCAAATGCTCGTGATCTCTTAGAGTTCAATTACAAGCTCTCACTTTGTCACTTATTTAGATTTGAACCACTGTTCTGTAAATATCAAATATAATTTAAACTTGGCTACCCCTAGCAACATCATATCAAATGCTTTCTACCTCTAGCAAGCTCCTCAGTACAGAGTATTTAATCTTGAGTCTGATCTTGCACTAGTTTCAAATAGAGTTACCTCCAATTAACTAGTATAAGTAGGGACCTACTGATTTTACGATTTTCATGTAAACTGTGAACGTGGTAGGTCTCGTGCAACAAAAAGTGTGGGGACTGCAAAAAAGCTGGGAAGCAGCCAGCATGTGGGGGTAGAGGGCAGGAGCTAAACCAGAGGCAGGAAGCCATGTTATCCTGAAGCACAGGAGAGAGGGGGAGGGGGCAGAAATGGCAACTGGTGCTGTGCTCAGACTGCAAAAACAGGAGGCAGTCCCCTTAAATTAGGTAGATCCCTAAGTATAAGTGAATTAGAATTGGGTCTTATTGAATACCAGCCTATAAATCATGTTGCACTCTGGTGCTATACAAATAATAAGATGAAATCTATCAGAAATAATTATAACTGGAATTCTGGTATCTTGCTTACCTTTTTTATATCAACAATATGGCTATTGCTGTGATTGGCATTAGGGTGGTATAGAACCAATAGATTTTGGAATCTGTGTCACTTGGATAGTGCTACTGAGATCATTCTGTTACATTAAATCTTAATTATGTATTCTTACAGGATGCCCAAGTCCTGCATGGTGACATTCCACAAAAACAGAGAGAAATCACATTGAAAGGTTTTAGAAATGGTGTATTTGAAGTCCTTGTTGCAACCAATGTAGCTGCCCGGGGTTTAGATATCCCTGAAGTTGACCTGGTTGTACAAAGTTCACCGCCAACGGTAAGAGACAGAGGAGAAATTAATCAGTAATTTATCCTTATATGAAAGGGTAGCAACAACATCTCAGTATTCTATCTGTTTCAAAGGAATGATGTCCTCATTTATTGGTGATGTAAATTTGAGAGTCATCCTTGGAGTAGGTTTTTTTCCTGTTACAACAGATAAAGAATTTTCCTATTGAGCAACTGCATTTTGTACATTAATTAGGTTCCCCCCCCTTTTTTTTTATTCTGTATATTTTAAGACGTCCTCCAAAACTTTTTCTGTACTTTTTTACCTCATTTTGAAGTTTATCTGTTTTTCCAGTCCAGTTTCTAAATTGTTCGGTATGCATGGAGCCTTCATTCATTAAAGTCTATGATGTATCCAGGCTGCATCTGGGGTCATTCTCCCATTTTTGTTCTGCAAGGTCTTTTATTTCTTTTTTGTGGTTACCAAAACAGATGTTGTAAAAGTCACTTTAATTTCCAAATGGTCTGTAAGGAAACACTTCCTTTATGAAGACCTATTACACATAGATTACTTGTAGTAGGAAGAACAGCAGTTATTTTTCTGTGCTGCTAGGTTAGTTATATTGGTTTTTGCCACTACTTTTTTGGCCGATGCCGATCTGATTTCTGATACAGCTGTGTACAGCTGGTAAGTCCATTGTGGTGGAAGGAGGGGCAGGGGGCGCAGATCAAGGCTCCTGTGGTGAGGGTGGGAGTGGGGCAGGCACTGCCTGGGTGGGGTATGCGCTGGAGCCATGGCTCATCTGGGAGGGTGGGAGGGGGGTGGCTTCCCTAATTGCATGCACTCCAGGAGGGCATGGGAGGGGCATGTGCCTCTGGATCTGTGCAGGGCAGAGCAGGCTGCAGTTGTGGGCTGGGGCTGGGGTTGCACCAGGCTCTTCCCAGTGGGGGCTGGCCTGGGCTGTGCTTGGGGCAGGCGGCAGCAGCAGTGCTGGGAGGGAGCTACAGGGAGGGCTGCAGCCACCCCAAATTTCACCATTAGCCCCTGCTCTCGATGCCACCACTGCCTGCCCCAAGAGTAGCCTGGCCCAGCCCACAGCTGCAGGCTTTCTCCACCCCTGCCCCCCCGCCACAGATCTCAGGGCACATGCCTCCCCTGTGCTCTCTGGGGTGCATGCAGTGGCAGGAGCCACCCCCCTCACCCTGCGCCCCCCAGATAAGCCGCGGCTCTGTCCCGCTCCCTGTCCTGCCCCAGCTGGGCACCACCTGCCCCTTTCCCACTCCCTCCCTCACCGTGGGGGCCTTGATCTTCCCCCCCACACCCCTTCCCTCCCCTTCCACCACAACAGGCTTACCAGCTTCATGCAGCTCTTCAAGCTTGGGCTGTGCTCCTTGCTGCGTGTGCGCTCCGCTACGGCTGTGCGCATGCACAGGCAATTATCGGCCACATCAGGCCAATTTCCAATACACTCAATTTTCTTTATATTGGTGCCGATCTGATATTGGACTGATGTATCAGTGAACCTCTAGATGTTAGCTCTCCTTCACTTTTCAGAATGAATTCAAAGTTATAAGACAGTATAACTTTTTTCCTACATCTTTACAGGGCTCTGAACTTGAATTTAACCTGGGCCAGGCAATTATTTCGGGCGGAGGGCCACTTACTGAGTTTTGGCAAGCCATCGAGGGCCGCGTGACAGGCAGCCAGGGGCAGATATTAATTTTCTAAATTTTTGGGGGGCCCTGTGGGCCAGATAGAATGACCTGGTGGGCCGCATTTTGCCCACCCCTGGTTAAACCTCCTTTTTTTATGTTCTTAGCAAATTTAACCCTGTGGTCAAATGACAAGGGTTTTTTTTCATGTTTATTCTTATTTTTAAAGCATGTGGACTCATACATCCATCGGTCTGGGCGCACAGGTCGAGCTGGACGGAATGGGATTTGTATCTGTTTCTATCAGCGAAAGGAAGAAGATCAACTTAGACATGTAGAACAAAAAGCGGTTAGTTTTCTTGGGGTTTGTTTTCCTTAATTGAGTCACAGTGTCTGACATTACAACAGGCAGACAAGGTTCCTTGGGTTCTTGGATAGCTCACAGGATAAGTTTGCTTAAAACCATACAAATCCATTTTGGGAATACATGGGTCCTAAAATGTTAACATCGGTGTTTGAAAAGCTTTGATATATTGAGCTATACTATGCTTGGCAATTGTTTCTTTTTCATTCTGTTAAGTAACTCTGACTTTACTATCACTACTGTACATGAAACTTCATCGGTACTATTAGGTTCTATTGTTAAAGGTACTTAAGATTTTATGAATAATTAAGTTTAAAATGAAATATTTTAAAATCCTCTCCTACCTTACCTATCTACCAAGGCTTGCATTTGATGTTTTGAAATCCCTACAATGGCTACTTTTTCTGTTCTGTTCTATGTTTTTTTACTGTTGAAGGGTAAACATGGAATTTAATTTCTTTCTTTGTCTTTTTAGCATATATTGCACATCTTTCCAAGCATCTTTAATGTCTTGCTCTATGATCTATCAATCCATCAGTGTAAAATGGAAAAATATCTAAATCCTGGTATTAAAAGCCAAAGTTTTGAGCCAGATGTCATCCAAGAATTCTCTTTTTCCTCATAGTGTGCTTTCCATTTCTTTTGTTTTATTTTCAGTTTCATCCAGCATTTGAAAACTATTCTGCTGCTTATTGCTTGGTGTTTTGGCTAAGACCAGTGTAACAGCTCTTTAAATAATTAGTAATCCTTGTGTTGTGAGTTTGGACTCTGACAACATATCCAAGCTTTTTCCTTGCTATCATCTTTGGTATAACTATGCAGACTAGGCTGCAAGTTAGCAAAGATCCCAACATCATTTTTTTTATATTTCAGATGAAATAAAAGTTATTTCTAGTTAAATAAATCCCGAACAGAAGATTTTCCTACTCAGCACTTGAAGTGGAATAGAAGCATGTAAAGCCAGACTTGACTGTGGTTTAGACCATTGAGTACCATAGAGAAAAAAAGACCTTGATCTGTAATTCATGGTTTCTTCTCAATTTCAGGGAATAATATTTAAGCGTATAGGTGTTCCTACTCCAACAGACATCATTAAAGCTTCCAGTAAAGATGCTGTCAGGTATGTTTGCTATCTGCTCATCATTCTAAGATGTTTTGAACTTGTTAAGCAGCAATGCTGTTGTTAATGTGGACTAAGGGTCAGCTCTGGTTATGTACCAATGTGCCTCTGTGCTTTCCTGCATGGACCAGTAGATTCTAATAAGATAATGGCAATGAACGTCTGTATGCCAGAGACCCTCGTGCAGTGAAACTCTCCTTCAAAACACATTTTGTTCGAAGTGTTTTTAATTTATTACAAAACAAATTTAAATATCTGTAACAGAGAATTACTACCAGGCAGGTGATACTGTTTTAAGCAGAAGTAAGAGTGCACCCCTCTCACAGGTGTGTGTTGTATTTCACTTGCCACATGCTAAGTTAGGGTCTTTGTTAAGATTTCCATGTTGACTTTGTGCTGCTTCAGTCCTAACTCGATACACATCTGACCCTTACTTGATGGAAATTGCTTCTAGCTGGCATTTATTCTAATGCTTCTCTTGCAGCAGATTTGTATTTCCTGTGCTAAGACTATGTGGATTGGTTCCTGTATATCACCTTTATGCCCGAGAAGTGCTTCACAAGTCCATGTCAAATATGATGTGACCTTTGCCGTAAAACTATCCAAGACCTCCTAACTTGAGCACTGTTAGTTGAGCATAGACTTGAGTCTCCCATTTCTGCTAATACTTTTTTATAGTGATAGCGCAGTGTAGATCAGTGGTGCTCATCTGGCCCACAGGGCCAGTCCACAGGTCAGATCAGGCCCCGTGTATCAGCACTGGGCCCCATGCCACCTCCACTCAGTCCTACTTGGACCTGTGCTGCTCTGCCCCAACTGGCCCCACTCAGCACCAGGGCCAGGTTCTCCAGCCCCTGGGGCTCACTCTGGGTCCAGAAATTTGATAGTAGGGGAATGACAGTTAGCTGCCACTGCTCCCTCACACCAAATTTTCGGATCATGGGAGAGCCCCCACAGCCAGATAAAATGGCTCCGGCCTGCAGGCCAGGGGTTGTGTGTGCTTGGTCTAGTCCAGTGGGGGCTAACCTTTTTATCAGGCAGGCTGCAAATTAGCTCCATGCTATCCCCAAGTGCCACTCTGATCCCCTTCCCCTGCCTAATCTCCTCTGTCTTCTGCTCTATCTGCTGCCATGTTGCATGTTCCTTCCCTGGCCTGCTGCAAGCCATATGTAGAGACTTTTCTTGCCATTTGCAGTGCTTGGCCACTTTTGGTCTAAACCAGGGACAGGCAGTTATTTCGGGCAGAGGGCTGCTTACTGAGTTTTGGCAAGGCATCGAGGGCTGCATGAGAGGCAGCTAGGGGCAGATAAATATTAACTTTCTAAATTTTTTAGGGGCCCCATGGGCCAGATAGAATGGCCTGGCAGGCCCCATCCAGCCTGCAGCCCAACATTTTGTCCACCCCTAGTCTAAACAGATTACTGGGTCCTTACTAAGCAATGCTTGTTGTTATTCAGAGCGAGGTGATCCAGCTTCTGAGCACCTGGGGTGCTATATGCCCTCGGTTGCATGCTGCAGGGGCCACATTATTGGTGTTCCCCTGGCTGCACCATGCTCTGCGTACTACACCTTGTGTCCCATGCTGTAATTGACCCTGCTCCTCATAGAGGCCCCACATTTCCCAAGGCTGCTCAGTCATGGGCTGCACTACCCCACCCCCAGAGCAGGGGCAGGCAGCTGAAGTTAGAGGGGGAGCCTGGAGACTCCAGCAGCAGCTATAGTCAGGGGAGCAGTACCCAGGCCAGGAGGCCCGGGACTTCAGGTTAACCTCTCAGGGGCACTAGCTGCAGCACATGGACTGTCAATTGGAGGGCCTTGATCGGAGAAACAAAGCATTTTCTGCCCATGCAGCGGTTCCCAATCTGTGGTATGGGTACCACCAGTGGTATGCAAACAACCTGTCAGTGGTGCACATTAACAGATGTATTATAATTCCTTTATATGACAAAACATTTGCTGGTGGTATTTAATGTTGTATTGTTTTAAATTGGTGTTGCACAATCTGTCAGAGTTTGGGAACAGCTGTGCTAATACAAGCACAGTTAAAAGTGATTGATAAGTGGCACCCATGTTTTTTAATTTGGTCTGATAGTATTTACTTGTTTTGCATCAAGAAGAGATTTTGCTAGTCTATTATGATTTTAAAATATTTGTTCGTTATGAAATTTGGGAGGGCTGGCTTAGTACAAGAGGTCTTGACTTGAGTGTTGTGACTATTCTCTAGGGCTATGCAAAATTTTTCCGGCTGTTTCATTTCAACTCGTTTCAAGCTCGAAACAGCAAAATCAAAACAAAGGGCTTCGAAACAGCCTCGAACTGAGGGCAGTCAAAACGTTTCGAGTTTCGAAACTTAAGCAGGGCTTGCCTGCAGGAAAACAGAAAGTACGGAGAGGGAGGGGGAAGAGTGGGGAAGGATTGCTCTCATATTGACTGTAGGTGGCCAGTGACTGTGGTCCTTCCCTGAGATCCCTTCCAATCCCAGTACTCTGGGGGATGGATGGAGAAACAGCATAAAAAGCAGCATTGTTTGAACTGGCCTGCTTTCTGTCACTCATGTCACAAGTTTTGCGTGTCAGCAGCCTGAGGTGCAGTTTCCCAGAAACCCTGGTACCTATCTTCTTGAAACCTGGCAGGCTTCGTGGCCTCAGCAGGGGCTAGCATGTCTGCACACACTCGACACAAGTTTTGCTTTCAAGAATTTGAGATGCAGTTTCCCAGAAATCCCTGCATCTATCTCCTTGAAACTTGGCAGGCTTCATGGCCCCAGAAGGAGCTACCATTCTTGCAAGTTCTGTCTGAATCAGGCAACAACTGACAAAGTTATAGGCAGTTTCATGGTTCCCCATTATAGCCTATGGGTGAAACGTTGAAACAGTTTCGACGGAACAGTGGTTTCGAAACTAAACGAAACTCGAAACAAAACACTGTCCCATCGAAACGGAAGTCAAAACGAAAAGGTGCTGTTTTGCTGTTTTGCACAGCCCTACTATTCTGCCCTTCCCACATCACCAAGTAGGAGGAGAAGTTTGTTACCAAGGTATAGGTTGAGAACAGCTTGTGTGGTGAGGTACCAGGCTGGAGATGTAAATTTAAGCCTTCTGTTTTGGTCTTGCACCCTTTGCCAGTTGCATCTACTAGTGCAGGGGTCAGAAACCCCCGGGCACGTGTGCCGAGCATGGCACGCAAGGCCACTTTGCTTGGGGCACCACCGCCAGCTTGGGCTTTAAGCAGCTGCTGCCAGCAACAAGAGCCCACGCTGCAAGCCCTGCTGCAAGCAGACGAGGCTCCGTGGGCCGGCTGCAGCTGGGAAGCTGCAAACAGCTGCTCCAGGCTCTGGCATGTCGGCACTCCGGCACCTTTCAAGGTAGACATTGTGGTTTTTTCGGCGCTCTGGCCAAAAAACGTTGCCTACCCCTGTACTAGTGCATTCAAACAGCCTGCTCTAGGAGTAGGAAGCACCTTATCTTACTTCTCTCTCAGTAACATTGTGAGTAACAAAAGTGCATTGATAAAGCCTGAACAATTACCTGTGTATTCTGGTTGATGGTGAATGCAGGAGACTTTTTTTGCGGGGGAAAGAGGGGCATGTGCAGAAGATAATATAAGGCATTCCTTAGCTGAGTAATTCAAGGGTGCTGTGGGGTACCATGCAATCATAGGTCTGTAAACATGATTCACAAGGTAATCCCGAAGATTTCATATAGGAATCCACAGTGTCAAAAACATTCTGACCTGTTGTGGTCTGTCTGAGTTCTTTGCAACAGAAAAATTGCTGTAATATTTTTCCATAGTCAAAAAAACAAGTGAAAAGTAAGAGCTGGCATTTTCCAAGGTTTGCCTTGAATCTAATGGGGAGCCTTGATCTGAAAAAGGTTGAGGACTTCAGACTTAGCTCAGAATTGCAAGGCAAAGGCTTCCTAGTGCCAAGGGCACTACTTCTAAGCTTTGAGTAAGTTTTTGTTTGGACAAATTGCTTAATATTTTAAAAGTAGCTAGGGTGCTTGTGACAAACTGTAGAAACCTCATTGTCAGAGCATGGATATTTGGCATTTTTGTCAGTATGCCTGAGTTGGGTGCCTAGTAAGTGAAGCACCGACAATAACTAGACACCTCTGAAAATCTTGCTCTTAATTCTTAAATTAGTCTCTAAAGTTTATGAAATATCTTGTGAACAATTGAATCTCCTAATGTTAGCCTTTTGTGTATTGACCTATCACGCTTTTGCTGTCAACACTCAGGTTTTTGGATTCTGTTCCTCCTTCTGCCATCAACTATTTCACACAGTCAGCTGAGAAGCTCATAGAGGAAAAGGGGGCAGTCAGGGCCTTGGCTGCAGCATTAGCTCACATCTCTGGGGCTACTTCCATTGAACAGCGATCCTTGATCTCCTCGGATGTGGTAAATAACGTTACGTAGTACTTCTGTGTTCAAAAAACTGTATAAACAAATCCTTATAACAACTAGAGAGGGTTTGTGTAGTAAATGGTAAGCAGTGTGACATATATTAATAAGCATCACAAGGGCTAGCACCCTTTGCCTCTCTCTATCTGAAACGGGCCCAAACCAACGTTCTCTGGCACTATTTGGGTATAGAGAGCTGATGAAGTAAGCTTGAATGCACACAAACTTGTGCTGTATATGTGTCTGTCTTAGTCTGTAAGGTGCGTATCTGCTCTACCTTCTATAGAGGTTATCTCTGTTCCCCTTAACTAGGTACTGCCAAGCTGCTAACCCAGTCCAAACAGAGCATCCTCCATTGCTTTTAATAGCTATTCCCAACTTTCCATCCAATACTATAGAAAACAGTAATAGTGTCATGGAAATTATATTGAAGTTTCTTGTGCTAGTGGGGTTCTATTTGTTGCAGACTTAGTCTGTCTCCTAATAAACTGTGCTAAATATCAACATCTTTTAAGAAAAGGAAAAAGTGAGTGGAGGTATCTGATTCCAGGGAAAACCTTCCTCAGTTTATTGTTGGATGGTAATCAGTAGAGGTGCACCAATACATCGGTCCGATGTTGGATCAGCACCAGTATAAAGAAAATTGAGTGCATCAGAAATTGGTCTGATGTGGGTGATTTAATTTGGCTGATAAATGCGCATGCATGTGCACAGCTGCAGTGCAGCATGCAGGCAGTGAGAAGCACAGCCCGGCAGCTTGGAAAGCTGTGTGCAGCTGGTAAGTCTGTTGTGGTGGAACGGGAAGTGGGAGGGAAGGAGCATGGTGGGGGTGGAGATCAAGGCCCTCATGGGGAGGGAGGGAGTGGAGCTGGGGCAGGTGCTGCCCAGCTGGGACAGGGTGAAGGGTGGATCTGTGGCTCATCTGGGGGCAGGGGTGGCTCCTGTTGCTACACACACCCTGGAAGGGCATTTGTGGGGGGGGGTTTGACCCTGGGTCTGTGTGGGGTGCTAGCAGAGTGGGCTGCAGCTGGGGCTGCACCAGGTTCTTTCTGGTG